TCGATGTGAGCCACAGTTAATTAATTTGACTTAGAAATAAAAAAAATAACGCCAACATATCTTTCGAACTATAATCGAGACAGCTAGAAAAGGTTGAACATATTGTCTTTTACGTTCATGAATATTCACTATGTTTTTAATAATACTCTGAAAAATCTTCACCCCAATATACACATATAAATGCGTAATATTTCAGTAATAGGTCAGACTGGAAGATTTGTATATAAGTTTATTCGTTCGTTTAAAATTCTAAACCCTACTGTAATTTTCTTTTCCTACTTGTACACAGATTACGAAGACCATACAATTCTCATATCGATGGAATTACAATGAACGTACGCCTTTGGAGTGTTGCCAGGTGCATATGTTACAGGATCCGTTCGTTAGGTACCTACAAATGTTAAAATTGCTAATTTATACACTTCTGGTCAAACGGTAAAAACAATTATGGCAGAGTTACAAATATACCCTTTAGTTACGGTACTCGCTTATAATTTTTCATAAGCGAATTCATTAATTGATCGATCTCATGAAAAATGAGAAACATATAACATTTTATGACCCATTAAAACAATGCTGTTCCAATTTTAAACTCACTTGATTGTTCCAGTACCTCCTAAAAATGTGTCTCCTTTAAAATGTATGCTTTTTAATTATCCACTAGCAAACTCTGCCTGCCTGCTGGCCTACTTTTGATTATATGATTCAATCGCTGCCAAACTTATGGTATACATAAATATACACACATATAAACACAACTTATAAATTATATATGTGTAGATAAATTGATCGATTGACATAGTTATTGTAGGTCCTAATAAAATAAGCTTCTCGACTATTTAAAACGATAATATAATATTTAATAATATAAACATGATAGTATTTGCTCTGGGAATCTGGGATCCAAGCCATTACTGTCGCTATATTCTTATCCAATTTTTTGACTTTACTATTCACCGCAAATCCCAGATAGTATGTACCATACCTAAGGACTGCTAATACACAAAATATCAATACTAAATAATTAAGCTGTTATTTGTTTATCTGCATCCGCATACAAGATACTAAAGAAAAAATTAAAATAAGTATACTTTAAAAAAAAACAGCAACGTTAATTTATTTATTACTAGCTGACCCGGCAAACTTCATACTGCCTCAATCGATAAATAAAAGACCTAAACTTTTGTATAAAATAAACTTAAAACAAACAAAAGGATTCCGTCCGACGGGGGACACATCAAAGGGAAAAAAACAAAATTGTTATTTTTATTTAATTCCTGGCATTTTCATATTTATCTACCTTTTAAACCTTCTCTGGACTTTCACAAATAATTCAAGACCAAAATTAGCCAAATCGGTTCAGTCATTCTCGAGTTTTAGCGAGACTAACGAACAGCAATTCATTTTTATATATAGAGATAGATAAAAATATTATGAATTTATACTATGTTAAATAAGAATAAAGTCCAGATTTATCCGAAATCTATTCGTATAAATTAGTATAGGATTTTGAACATCATTATAAAATGCAAAAAAAAATACAAAATAATTCTCGTCTGACAATACTAGTCTCCGTATGGTAGCATCTTTAACCAGTCCGTGTTAGTAAACAATGGTTTAGTTCAACACGAAGGACAGAGATTCCTCTTACGATAAGCACGAGGGATATAAAATGAGGCGTGGAAATGCTGGTGCATTTAATGGAATCTCACGTAAGGCACCTAACCAATGAAATAACTTTGAGTACAAGATTTATCTTCAATTTAATGTGTATGATATCATTGCAATTATTATGAAAACTTCAAACGAATATAATGACTATGGAATATGGTTTTAATTTTGTTAAGATTGCCTAATATATTAAAAATATTTTAATCGAATAGGTTTAATTAAATTTGGAACTGCTAAATACGATGTTTCTCTCGCAGTGGCTGTCGTAAATGAAAAACCAGAGAGTTAGCAGTCATTTAATAGATAATATTTGTTTATATATCTTTTTATATGTATATATGTATGATATGTATATGTATATATTTATGTATATATCTATATATTTACGTACATGTATTTATTTAAGTACGAGTATTTGTATCTATAAATATTATGTTTGTTATTTATACACATATGTTTAAGTAATATCACCTTCACACTACACCTACCAAGCTTCATCTCTGCACTCCCCTAAGGTAGACTGGTAGAGAATGCCTATGGTATTAAGTCCACCTTTATACTTTATAGTATAAGAAGTTATAAATAAATAAATAAAAAACGAATTATATTAATCATAATGAGTTTCAATATTGAATTTCACAATGTTACTACTTAACGATTCGATATATTATGTTCTTTATTAATAATAAAACGTAGCTGTAACTTTTTTTTACGGTAAATGGGCAGACGAGTTCGCTGCTGTTGTTTAGCGGTTAGTGGACATCAATCTCGTTCTTGGAAAATTTAAATTCTGGCGCCTATTTCACACAGTTTGATAACGACTATCTTACCCTCAAATAGAGCTTCGCGGCAGAAATAGATCGTTCGACGATACAGAGTTAAATGGACTTAAATATGTCAGACGGGCTCTACAACCATTAATAATCGATTTCGGAATCTATTCGAATAAAGCAAAATACGCTTTTACTAGCTTCAGACGTATGTGTGTGTTTGTAACGGAATATTTGAACATGATTTTCACCCCCTTCAAAACGTCGGATTAACTTGAAATTTGGTATACTTATTAAGGACCGATGGCAATCCAAAATTTAAAAAAAAAAAGAAAGAAAATTGAAATACAGTCAAACCTGGATAAGCGAGAGTTCAAGGGAGCACAATCTCATTCTCGCTTATAGAGGTTTCTCACTAACCCGAGTTTCTCGCTAATGCTCCCTCTGAATTTCGATTCGCGATTTTCCGCATTCAAATGCATTCACTATTTTAAGTTTATGACTTTAATGACAGTACTTTAATTTTCCGTTTTTACATGATGCAGAACAGAACTTTCCTTCGCAATTGATGAACAGAACTTTCCTTCGCAATTGATTAACAATAAACTGAGTAAGTTCGACAAACAGGACGGTACACAGGCACACGTGTCGATTCGAAAATAATTCGATAAAAGAATACGATAAAATAACAACGTTATTTAGTTCCACGAAATAGAATAGGTTCAATATTCACGGGAAAACCATACAAAAACAATGATAAGAAATTCCACGAAAGTTAAAAATGGGTCATAAAATAGCAGATGTTAAATTTGTAATTTGTTTTGTCATTTGTTCCTCCTAAATAATATAAATAAATAAATAAAGCTCGGCTGTCGCTTATAGGTATAGATATGTAGCAGTCTCACTTACGGAGGTCCATGAGGAAAAAACGGCTCTCTCTTACAGAGGTTTCTGTTTCTCGCTAATAGAGGTTTTGGGAGCTTAAAATGACGGGTCCTTGCTATTACTCTCACTTATAGAGTTTTCTTACTTATCCAGTTCTCACTTACCCAGGTTTGACTGTAATTGAAATTCAACTAAAAAATGATTTTTTTTTTTAAACTAACTAAATACGCTTTTATAGAAAATCCTAATAAAAAAAAAATTAATAAATTTGAATTAAAAATAGTGTATGAAAAAATGATTTTATTGTAAAAAAGCGTGGGATGCTTTCAGGTTATTATCAAAATAACCCTTCTACTCATATCTGTTCATAAAATATTGATAACTACTTATACCATGCACCCCACGCTTTTCTACAATAAACTCATTTTTTCTTTCACTATTTTTAATTCAAAATTAAAATTTTCTATAAAAGCGTATTTTTTTTGTTTTTTTAAACGATTATTTTGTTAAATTATAAGCGAGTACTACATTTTGTGACGTCATATGTACATGACATTACAAGTCGCTCCCAATATCAGTCAAAACAAAAAACTTTTTCCTTTCGAACTTGCAGTCGATCACAGCCAGCATATTGATAGGCTACCAATAATTTGTAAACGCATTTCACGTTACATGTATTTTTAGAACACTTTCGGAAAGAATAAAGTACGGGTACTGTCTTGGATCTGCGATATCGCCTATTTAATATATCCGCTCTGGATACGGCTGGGTCGAGAGAGCAATTTATTATTATTATATGAAATCTGATTAGCTATGAGTTGAGTTCCTATTAAAATTATCGTATTTACGTCACGTGGTAACTGAAGATATCACAGCTATGCCAAAATTGCAATCATCATTGAAAATAAATGTGTTTGAATAGGTGCTGAGCTTAGGTTAAATTTTTCATTTAAAAAATGGAACCTGATATTTTTTGAGGTAGTACTTTGAGTTCCCGTAAATATTAAATCACGTCTGCGTCCGTAGTTAAGCAGGAACATCGGATTTATGACTTACGAAATTTATCCTACCTTTTTCAAAATGCTTTCATACGCCGAATTGGTTTCAAAACAATTGCTATTTAAAAAAAGCTCGTTATTAAACTAAAAATCAAGTGAATAAATAATATATTAAGCCGTCTGCAATATGTTATTTGAAATTCAAAAGTATCTCGACCCTGATTGAAAACTGTAATTATTTCTGTATGTTATATAATTTATCAATTTATAATGGACAAATTAATTATATTTAAATTTTAAAGTAAATAAGTATGGTTAAATTTTAGTAAATATGTGCAATGAAATTATGTGTTGTGTTGTGTTTATTATGAATTATGAATTATGTGTTGAAATTTAAAAGTATCTCGACCCTGATTGAAAACTGTAATTATTTCTGTATGATATATAATTTATCAATTTATAATGGACAAATTAATTATATTCAAATTTTAAAGTAAATAAGTATGGTTGCATTTTAGTAAAAAAAGAACAGTACCTACCTATTTGGTAAACTTATATTTATTATATAATGTTAGAAGCTTTCATAAATGAAAATATTATTGGGAAACTGAAATAAAATTGACATGGGAGAGACAGGTAGTAAGGTCATCATTTGTTTAGTAGCTATAAAACTTACCTAAAATTTTAACTCCTATAATTTAAAAATCACTTTAAGCTAGATTGTTGCATACGATTCACTAATTTAAATTTAAGTACAATTTAAGCAAAATTAAGTTCGAACTTTAAAACGTCACTTGAAACACGAAATTTAAAATTTTTGTTTTTTATCTATTTTTGCAAAGAGGACTTTTCGCCGGGCGAGTCGGTATAAAAATGACGATTTTTCTAGCAAGGGGCTGGTGCTCGTCCTTGCGTGGCGGGCAAGGTCTCGGCAATGCTGTATGTGAGCGTGCACTTCTGTTCCTTTGCTTCTTATACCTCGTCGAACATATGATTTTTACTGATTAACCTACGTAATAGGGGTTAAAGTATAAAATTGCAGTTTTATTGTAATAGGTAGGTACTTCGAATTGACATAGAACCTTCATGGATTAAGATATTTGAGTGAAACTTTTTTGAAATGGAACCTATGAGGTTGTTCTTTTAAAAAATGTGCAACATTCGATTATCGACTTTCAGTTGTTTTTTTTTTATTTATCTTAGACAAGAAAGATGAATACTTCGAAAATTCGAGTGATTTTTTAATACGAGTTCCGACGCGGAACTAATGCTGCAGAAACAACTCGCAATATCGATGTAGCGTTTGGAGAGGGGACTGCTAATGAACGCACCGTGCGATTTTGATTTAAACATCTTTTTAACTCATTTGCGTCAAACCAATAAAATTAAAAAATATGAAAATATGAAAAACGGGTGCCTCATGATTTGACTGATCTGCAGAAAGAAACGTCTGTTGAAACTTTTGTTGGCTTGTTCAATCGATACAGAAATGAAGGAACATTGGATCGAATTGTGACATGTGATGAAAAGTAGATTCTTTACAATAACTGTAAGCAAAAAATGCAATGGCTGACCCCAGGTCAAACGCCGCAACAGTATCCTAAAGCAAAGGTTACCAATAAAAAGGTAATGGTAGCTGTTTGGTGGTCTCAGTATGATGTTATTCACTATAGCTTTCTCCGATCTGATTAAGTAATAACGGCAGTTCTCTATTGTGCCGAACTATTTTATACTGGTGATAGGACCTCTTGTGAGTCCGCGCGGGCAGGTAGCACCGCCCTGCCTATTTCTGCCGTGAAGCAGTAATGCGTTTGGGTTTGAAGGGTGGGGCAGCCGTTGTAACTATACTGAGATGTTAGAACTTATATCTCAAGGTGGGTGGCGCATTTACGTTGTAAATTTTTATGGGCTCCAGTAACCACTTAACACCAGGTGGGCTGTGAGCTCGTGCACCCATCTAAGCAATAAAAAAAAATAAAAACTCCGAACAATAATAGCAAAACTTGCAATGAAACAGCCCCGACTCAGAATCGATCTTCACCATTATTGCTCCATGATAACGCGAGATCTCATACAGCGCGAGAAACCGTTTCAACTCTACAGGAACTGCAATTAGAAACCATTCGTCACCTTCCCTATTCACTAGAGCTTGCTCCATGATGCCAATAAAAAATATCTACTTTCAGTTGAATCATGAATTTTTCCCCGGATTAATCATTTGCGACGATTTCGTCGTCTTTTCTTTTTTTAAGAAAGACACCGACCACCGCTATAGGAATTTTTATAACTACTGCGTTGTATATTTTAAGAACGACCAAAAAGAAATTATTTTTTTGTGTTAAATGGTTACTGGAGTACATCTACAATGTAAATGCGCCACCCACCTTCAGATAAGTTCTGAGGTCTCAAGTATAGTTACAACAGCTGCCCCACCCTTCAAACCGAAACACATTACTGCTTCACGGCAGAAATAGGCGGGGTGGTGGTACCTACCCGTGGGAACTCACAAGACGTCCTACCACCAATAACTGAACAAATTGCGAGATTACTTTAAAACGCCTGATATTTTTGATGCGCAATCATTAGTAAAAATAAGGCGTTTATTTATAGAAAATAGTCGTTAAGATTAGGTTGCTGCGATTTGTATACATACTAGAGACGTGTGTGTAACAAATTACTATTAGTGATTATTTTTTGTCCGGCTTGGCACTTATTGTTTTCATAATAACGTGTCAACTGCTGTCAGTTGATCATCCTAACATGTGTAGTTGAATTTATCAATGACCTTTATGAATTTAACTAATCTAATCTAACTATTCGTTCATTTCTACTGGAGTCAGTGATGGATTTACGATTAGGCCCGTGAAGCCTAGGCCTAGGGCATGAGGCATTGAAGAACGGTAAAATTTTTGAAATAGGTACGAAAATTTCAAAGTCGAACAAGTAGGTAACCCAAGTAAACAAAGTAAAGACAGTGTTCTTTAAAAATTAGGTATAACAGTTATTTTAAATTTAAAATAAAATTATTGGATCAAAATTTATTCTAGCATTAAGGGCGGCGCGATAAACAGGGCCTAGGAAGGCATCAAGCCTTTCCGTCACTGACTGGAGTTGAGAATCACTGACCTGGTAGCGCCCTCACTAGCCCTGTTAGGCCGAAGGTCATGCGTTCGATTCCCATTTCCGGCAAAATTAGTAAGGTTTTTTCACCCTGTATCTGAGTGTTCAATATGCATAGATATTATACATAAAAGTAAACCCAGTCACGCTTATCTGTGATTTCTTTATACTATTGACGCGCCATCTATTGTACGTTGATGGTACTATGACAGAAACCCTCCTTGGAGGGCCAATCACGACGATTCAGCAACACATAGAAGACAAACATTGATATCTATTTAAAACATTCACAAAAAGGTAGCATAAACGAAACGCTTAGACTTTGAATACTATCAACCAGGTCACTAAAGCATCATGTCAATCTAATTTAAACTACCATCAGATAGAAACCTATTGGGCCTCACAGGTTATAAAAACCCATTGATTTAAGATAAACAAATAATTAGCCATAAAAAATATTTTAAATTAAGAAAAAAAACTGTTCTATCTCTCAACTTGAAACAAAGTACACATTTTGAAAAAGACACGACAAAAAGACGTCGAAATCGAATTATTAGTTTAAGATTGCATTACATACGAACAACCTTTTTTTATCTACCTAATCGTTGGTAGCTTAAGGGGTTATTATAATTACGTGTGGATGGGTAGGTGAGCTCACGGGATATGAGAGAACTTCCTAAAACTTGCCCTATAGCAAGAACTTTTTTCGCTGAATCTACCACAAGATTGAAATCACTGAGAAAATCTGGCGAGCAGCTCAGTGGATTGTGTCAATAAGCAAGGACATCGTCGTATTCGATGAGTTCGACGAGAACGGTGATTATTGCTTATAGAGCATAAAGCACCGAAAGTGTATCAGGAGAAACCTATAAGATGTGCTTAGGACAACGGTGGAGTCAATCAGGCGATCGTGTATAGGTTGCATTGAAATTTTTTAATTTTCAACCTACACGAGGCTTATAATTAAAAAAAGTAGCCATCTTAAAACGTCAGATAGAGAAATAGAGCTTAATACAATTAGGGTTAAAGCATAAACTTATCAGGTAAGAGCACTATGAAATATACTGAATGAAAACTCTTACTACTTACTATATTTTTTACAGTTCAATTTTCGACAAAATAAGCTTAAACTGAGTTTCTGATAATCGTCAACTAACTAATAAAAAGCCTGACAGAGTCCTGAGAGTTATTTTAGTGATAATAATCTATCCCAAAGGGTAGATTGAATTATGATATTAGCTTTTGGCAATTATTATTGGCTTCATACCTAATCGTAATCATTGGCAACTGGCAACCCAGACTAAAAAAAATATAGAAACGTCAACCACCGTCAACGCTAAATTTATCCTAGTTTACATCATTTTATATTTAATAACAATTTTAAATCTCTTCAATACCTCAATATTCTTAGTTTGTTCAAATCAGATCACTAAATAAAATCATAAAATGCCACGCGGTAAGAAACAACGAAAAAAAAATCAATGACGTTCAGTCATTTAGAATGTGCTTCTGACCAGTCTGCTTTTAACCTATTACGTTTTAATTTTACTTGTACACTCCAAGAATTTTCATGAGAAATTGACATATTTAGTTTTTTGTTACTTTTCTGAAAACAGTAAGTTATAGAATTTGTTTGTACCTTCGTAGGTAAATTTACCAACCACAAGGGTCGTAACCGCAAGTTTACTAGCCCTGAAGAATTAGAAGAACAAAGGAAACACGATGAACAGAAGAAGAAGTAAGTCATTGTTTTTATTTCAATCACTTCGTTTCATCTGAAATGGGCTCAAGGGTCAAGGTTTAGGAATTTGTCATACCACTCTTAGAACTCTTCACTAAAATGAGAATATACAATATGCTAATTCAGTTTCAAAACGCTGTAGTTAAATGTGTTCCTTCACTTTCTTTCTTAATTATTGGTAGTATAATAAAAGTATATTCTTTTATACTGCCAATGAAGGTGTCAATATATTATATAGAGGTGTGTTATTACCAAACAAATAGAATGTTACATTCAGTCTTATTTCTACTTCAATCATTTTACAATATCTTGTCAAAAAAGACTACATACAAAATGTAAATTTATAACTTACTGCAATATAAAGCATATTACATATTCATTGTAGTGATAAACTGTAAATCTCTTTAAATAAATAATACAATCAGACAATTTACCCTGATTCAACATAAAAAGAGAGGTTCAAGTTGAAATCTAATTTGGTTATAGATGGAGAAAAGAACAAGGGAAAGAGAGCAGCAGCGAAGAGGAATCTGAAGAGGAAAAGTCTGGATCTGGTAGTGAAGGGAGTGATTCAGATGAAGATGTAAGTAGTAATATGTAATCCATACCATACCATACTAAATCTTCTTACATTTCTACCACCAAATAAAGTAGAAACATGTTTCTGTTTCATTAAAACCCTCTTTTTAAGTTATATTTTATATTTTGAATATTTGGTATATGGGGAATATTTGTAAAGTTAAATCTACTAAATGTTTTTGTTGTTAATTATTCATTAAATTTACTTACATTATAAATCTAAGTGTCAGGTAAATCTAGACCTATAATTTTATAAACACACTAACATTAATATAAAACGGTGAGATCATGGATGGATGCCGATAGAAAAGTAGTAGGTGCTCAAGGTAGTCAGGATTGAATTCCTATTCTTCTTCTCAGTGGTACACTCTTGGCGGAGTATTCGTGGTTATGTATGTCTTATTGCTTAGTTGCAGCTTTTGAGAGACTTCTCTATCTCTCTCTATCTACATTCCTATAACTTATAATAAATTATCAGACAGACCATCATCAGGATATCTTATTATCAAACATAGAGAGAATATACATTAAAACCCAATTAACATTAAAAAACAATCATCAAGTAGATATAGTTGCACAATAGGCAGTCTTATCGCTAAAAGTGATCTCTTTCAGATAACTGTATTATTTACAGAAATTCTGAAAAAAATCATAGTTTTTATTAAAACTGTTATTTTGAACTCTAACTCTTATTTTAGCCTAAACAATTAGAATGTTGAATATTCAAATGCTGTAAGCTGAGAGGCTAAAGGTTTAAAACCATATACAATATAGTGTAGTATTCATAAGATACCCCACCACACCCCCCTTAAATTCACTCAATTTTTTTTCATTTCTCAAGACAGCCATGATTTCAATCCATAGTGACTGTATGTGCATCTGCTCATCAATATAATAACGTTTATAGTAAAAATTACATACTATGTAGTATTCTGCTATTGATCTTTAATCAGATTATTAATAGTTGATTGGTAAAGCAGCATTGTGCAATAATAATAATAATAAATGATTATTTTATATATATAATATATATTATTTTGGAAGATGTATCAATATTAACTCTAACCAGTTAAGCAGTATGTTGCCACCTGCTCTGCTAATACCAATACATACTAACCTAAAAACATATTTCTGTTCCAGCATCCAACCAAAGCGAAAGGTGTATCTGGTTTAATAGAAGTAGAAAATCCAAACCGTGTAGTAAAAAAAAATAAAAAGTTATCTAATTTAAATGATCTTGGAGATGTGGAGAAACCACAACTGTCAAGGTAAGAAGATAACCCATGGAAAGACATTTGGAAGGGGAAATGGTATACTATTTTTCTAAAATAGACTATGTTTATAACAGCAAAGAATAATTAAATTTTCCTTAAACACAGGTAACAGGTAATAGTAAGCTATTATAGGATTGTAAGTTTCAACAACTCACCAACACCCTCACCCAATAAAAGTTGGGTGGTTTGTTAAAGATCTCTCATATTTATGTATATGTCATAAATCAGGATGTACTTATCTATACTAATAATATTATAAAGAGGAAAGATTTGTTTGTTTGTTTGTTTCGAATAGGCTCCGAAACTACTGGACCGATTTGAAAAATTCTTTTTCCATTAGAAGCCGACGTTGTCCCTGATGAACATAGGCTACTTTTTTTAATTTTTTATTTATTTTATTTTTTGGTTTTCATGTGTGTTTTAATGTTTCCGAAGCGAAGCGAGGGCGGGTCGCTAGTTCTTTCATATATAAAACAAGCCAAACAAAATCCTAACTTAGAACTATTAAGGTAGAACCATTTATTTTATTTTTTTCAAAATTTAACAGAGTTGAAAACGGATTGACGGTTTTTTTTTATTATCTTTGTGTGCAGACGAGCATACGGCTCACCTGATGGTAAGTGGTCATCGTCGCTCATAGACGTCAGCAATGCCAGGTGCAGAGCCAAGCTGCTGCCTACCATTACATCTTACATCTTACTCAGATTAAAATCTTGATTTAAGACGTGAACGTGAGGAGATAGAACGCCAGCGAGCGGCTGCAGCCTATCAGAAGCTTCACGCTGAAGGTAAAACGGAGCAAGCGCGCGCTGACCTCGCTCGACTCGCCATCATTCGCCAACAACGCGAAGAAGCAGCTAAGCGCAGAGAGGCAGAGAAAAAATCTAAAGAAGATACTACAACTAAAAAAAGGTAAGAGCATGTCTAGTGTGCAGGGTAAATATTGTTATGCGCTGGGGTTCGGGACAAATAAAAAAATCTACCGAATTACAAGTTAACACTGTATTAACACTTAGAACACTCACAAACATTTTAAAATTCTCAATCCGCTTCTTCCGTTTCGCTTCAGATGATCGGTTCGCTGCTTCTCTTCGAGTAGTTCGGATTACTAACTGACTGCGTGCCATCTTTGCAACACTTTTATAGCCGATACCACATCCCTAAAATGATCGAGAATATTCCACACATTTCTAGTATTGTGTTTCCGCTATCTGACAATAGATGGCGCTGTACTGCCCGAGCGTTCTAGATGCTACCCACTAGATCCTTCGATATTCTTTCGACTATTCAGCGATAGATGGCGTTACTCTTACCGGCGTATCGATATTTTCTAAAGCAAAATGTTTGTGCTTAACACCCATAATTCTGTCTGTCTGTCTGTGCCATAATTGGTAGCACCCAATGCTGTGATTATCCCAGAGTTGAACTCTTGAAGGCAGACATAATTTGTTTACATAAACAGGTCAAGAGAAGTCATTACTGTATTAAAGCTATTACATATGAAGAAATGTGAAAGGATGCATAGGTGCCAACTTCCCATGCAGGACTTCCACGATCAATAAAATCAAACCCATAAATCTTATACATTTTCCCAAGGACTGCTATATTTGTAGGGATTATCAGTAACACACACACACACATTTTGCTTCATGGGTTGCATGCATTGAAAAGGAAATTCTCAATACGCTTGGTATCAAAAACTCTTCCTCCTTCCTTCTCTATTTATATTTAAAGTCAGTTAAATATCCATATCATACTTCCATACTAATATTATAAAGGCAAAAGTGAAGTTGTTAGGCAATGGCTTAGATCTGCCCCTAGCATTGCTGACGTCCATGGGCGATGGTAACTACTCACCGTCAGGTGGACCGTACGCTCGTTTGCCTATACAGGCAATAAAAAAATATATAAATAAGTTGACAAATTTCGCAAATATAGTTTAAAACATCTTTCTGCTCAATTTTTTTAATGTAATATTAATTCATACATTTTACATCCACAGGTAGACAATCTTCTTTATAGTTGACTACAAGAGGAAATATCTTCTGATGTTTGCAAGCTCACAATCTCAAGCTGCATAGCTTAAAAATAAAAAAATTAAACAATTTTTTCAGACTTCTAATTTAAATATCAGAGTAATGTCAGCTTTTATTGTATTTACCGAAGCTTAGTTATTACTTTCAACTTTAGCTAACCAAATTCTTTCATATCTTTTCTTTGTATTAGTTATTTCTTATACGTAATTGTTAAACAAAAAATATATATATCAAAATACTTGACTATTTACAGCTGGTCTTAATTGAATGTTCACAAAACAGCTTAGTATTTTTTTGTATCTTCACTTATATCATATTTCGTATATTTGCGTATAATGGAAAGTACCTTTATTGTTTTATGTATATTATTTTTTTAAATATTGAAGAATAACATAACGAATTTTAACTTTATAAAATAAATAAATATAGAATAAATTAGTGAAATTGTATGCCTGTAGCGACAAATATCAGTGCCTTTATCATCTGGATTAAGAAATATCGGTGATATTGTCTTTTCTCATATGTTCCAAAAATTCTTGTGACATACTGCCTGAAAGGGATGCTATATCTTACCGTTTCAAATGAATCGATTTGCTTGAAGGAAACGAATGTAGCGCCTCTTGTGGTAATTTTAGTTAACTAAATAGGTTTTGTATATTAAATCAGTTATCGCTGTCTTAGCAATTCGACAAAGAAGGTATTTATATACTCGTATAGTTCTTTTTTTATTTAAAAAAAATTCTTGATTAAAAGTATGTATGTTTGTTCGTATTGAATTAATATTAATTTCATATCGTAATTTGCTAAATGGAGATTATAAATAAGTATGGGCTATAGCAATTATATAAGTGAATCCATAACGGATTTCATTACTATTTTCGTTTTTATATAGACTCACTGGACGTTTTATAAGACAGTTATGTATCTATAAAAATAAATATTGAAAATGATCTCCTAAGCTGTGTCATTCATTATATTTGAATCTTTCAATCACCGTAACAGTAAGGCTGCTTGCGCACTATGCAACCTGTATGCTTAGTGCGAGTTTTTTAACGTTTTCGATAGCGTAAAGGTTAGCCAAATTTTGTATGCAGTTGGAACAGCGCTCCTAGCGGCAAATGTAGACAAACGATCCCATTCCATACAACTATGAGATAACTTTTACGCTATCCAGAACGTTAAAAAACTCGCACTAAGCACACTGGTAACCGAAAGGCTGCGGCAACCTAAATATTTGAGCAGCCAGTTATAGAAGCCAATCGACGCTCATTTATGATCCTTTCGTCGAGCGATTTGGACTTTATCTCGTAAAAAACGCAAAGTAAAGAAAAGACGCTGGATTCATCCTCTTTCTGGAACGGCACTCAAAAGGCTTATTCTATAACTATTTTAAAGATGTTCATACATACGCAGACCGGTTTTGGAACGAAGTTCCTTGTAAGACGATGCGGAGGGGTACCCTAACCGGGAAAAAACGTCCGTAACATAAGGTATTTTCTATTTAGTTTGTTATCAACAGATGTCGCTGCAAGTAAATTCAACAATTCCTGAATCGCGGTGACAAAATGTTACACAGTTGACGGACGTTCTCGTATTTCTCTTTGTTATATCATACTTACCTGGCATAGAGGGATACCGTGATCATGTAGGCGGAGGCTGCTCCATTGCACTGCATAGTGGTTGACCCTTGCGATCATATTTCTAACAATAAAAAAAATCATAATAAAAAATGTATACCCGAATAATTATTTTCTTTATACCTCGAATAGATCTTAATATTAATATTTTTATAATATGGATGGAACTTCGTACCTATCCAGGATCCGGACTGACCGCAGCCAACAATCGCTCTGGCTACCTACAGCCAATGGGCTGCCGTGCAACAGGCGCGTTGTATTGACGGCCGCAGTCAAGAGTTCCGGGTTGCTTATGTGCGCGGGCTCCCATACAACGCCATATATTTGTCTGGTTGCCGCAGCCAGGCTGCTTAGTGCGCGGGGAGTCTAATTAAGTAGTTGTACAGAAGCTACGAGCATGAGTCGTCGACTGCTAACGATGCACCTGATGGAAATCTCAAGTATACATTGTGTTTTTTTGTATTGTTTTCTAGGATATCGGAACATAATAGTAACAACCCACACTTGAAATTTGAGTTCGAAATTTCGCGGAAGATAAGTATTTTAATTGTATCGGTAATCAACAGTCTTCTTTCTTCTGTTTGAAGAAGACATTGTTAAGACCGGTTGCAACCCGTGGGAGCTCACGACACGCACTGCCAATTAATCAAGACGGAAATTTTGAAGAAGAGTTGAGTTGGAGGTGTAAAAAATTAAGTAACAATCAACACCTGCTAACGACCCCCACCAGAAAGTGCTACAATGGTACGGTTCGACTGTTACTGACAATCAAATAGTATAGTACATAGTAATTATAACTCATAAATATCCCAGATCCGCAGCCCGCAGAAATAGATCGATCAAATTTTTTTTCTTTTTTTTTTTCTTTTATTGCCTTTGTAGGCATACGAGCATACGGCCCACCTGATGGTGAGTGGTTACCGTCGGCCATGGACTTCAGCAATGCCAGGGGCAGAGCCAAGCCGCTGCCTACCGCAAATTTGAAGTACTTATTGGATATATCTGGGGAAAGAGTTTAACAAGTGTCTGCAGTCGGCATCATTGCGCCACTTCGAGAAGGCGGCACGACATGAAAACTCGTCGTGGCCGCCGGAAATTACATACCCGATCCTGTGGACCGAATGTTAACCGGTCGACGTCGCCATAACAGGTCATTGCGGATCCTCTCGATCCATTAACTGTGCTATTAGGTACCACAAGCACCGGTTACCGTCCTCGTCGAACCCGTCGCTTGCTTCGACGTCACTCGTTGAAGGGTTCGACGAGTGAACTAACCCATAGACACAGCCCACTGAGTTTCTCGCCGGATCTTCTCAGTGGGTCGCGTTTTGGATCCCGTGGTAGATTCTGCGAAGCACTGCTCTGATACAAAACAAGTCTGTGTCTGGTACAAGATTTGAACCTATGAGCTCACCTACACGTCAACAAGGGCGGATCCAGCTTTGGCGCCAGGAGGGGGTCACATAGTCAAATTTAGATGCGTTCGTTCCCAAACGTTTGCCATTATACAAAGTTATTATATTATATTAAATTAATTAAATATTGAAGGTATGTAGTTACATAAACTCTGTATGGTGACAAAATATATAAATAAAATCATTATATTCAATTAGTGGTCCACCAAGTCCTGGAACCAGCTCAGGGGGTGGTCATGACCCCCCCTGGATCCGCCATTGCACGTCAAGGAGAAGCTGAAATAGCCTCTCAAGGCTATAGGTAGCAAAAAAGAAAGCATTACAACCTTTTTAAGCATCCTCATTTTTACCTCCTGAGAAGTAGTTTTAATTTTACCATTTATATTATCGTTTAAGTAATAACATCGGTTAAAAAACGCAACCTGATTCTGGGTGCTATATATATTTTCATGAATAAGAGATTTTGTTTTCAAACAAGATTCACTTCACTGCTTTGATCGCCACGTCTATCAATAGCCTGGCATGCAAACATTCGACTAAATACCAAGCGAACAGAGAGTTTAAAAAATTACATTTGGCCTCGTATTTACCTTGCCTAATTCTACAACAACTTGGTTCTCTTCACCTCATCCCATTTAAAAATCACAAGAATATTTTATACAAAATAGCGGAAAGTTGAAATCAATTATAAACAGCAACAAAGCTGATTTTGTTGCAGCTAAACAAAATTCAATAAATTAAAATGTTCGTAAACTCTTTTCACAGTATCTGCCTGCATCCGTTTTATTGGAATAAAAACAACGGAAAATCGGCAAACACGACTGAAAAAACACGGAACAACTGCCTGAAGATAAAATAAAACGACCGAGATCTAATTTTACCTTGTTGCAACTCTAAATTGTTCGAGCGATCCGTTCGGAACAATGCAATTTTGTTATCGTGCTTTACGGGACATTTAGGTAGCTCGCTGGTTACATAACATTACTTTAATTACTTAGTAGACTTAATAATATTCTTTACTACGAAAAAATAAAAATGTACATATTTACAAAAGCGCCTAAACGAACATAAAAGCAATATTTTTTTAATTGTTTATATGGGTGGACGAGCTCACATCCCACCTGGTGTTAAGTGGTTACTGGAGCCCATAGACATCTACAACGTAAATGTGCCACCCACGTTGAGATAAGGGTTCTAAGGTCTCAAATATATATTAGTTACAACGGCTGCCCCACCCTTCAAACCGAAACGCATTACTGCTTTACGGCAGAAATAAGCAGGGTGGTGGTACCTACCCGTGCGGACTCACATGACTTACACTCCTACTACCAGTAACACTTGTAAACTTACTACAAATTAGGTGATGAATGATATGATGATTTGTATTAATTACGTGTAGATTCTTTAATATCTTATCTCGATTTCTTTAATATTTTTTTCATTACCGCATTCTTAAGTTGCGAAGAGTAGGTGCTCTTCTGTCAGGTCTACTGTATTAATATCTACTAAATTAGCATTTATTAAGAGGTCGTATGTAAGCCAGCGTGGATAAATACTACATCCTGTCTATTTCTGTCGCAAAGCGGTTGTGCGTTCGAAAAGTGAAAAAGCCCTTATAAAATACAATCAAATTGTCTATGGGCGCAGATATCAATCAAACACCATTAATTTTCCCACCTGTCTAGTGCATCTAGCTTGTGGTAATGAAGATAAAAAGAAAATATCTTGTTCGAATTAAACGACTTTAATAATATTTTTAAAATTGGATTAATAACTGCTTACCATTCATTATTATAATAATATGTCATTTCATTGCAAGCCAAAAAGATATTATGAAAAAAAAGCCAATGTATTATATTCCTGTGCCGTATATACTCATTACTGCAGTCCCTCGTTGGAAGCTCACGAAGGCAGGGATGGTCGTCGTAGTTTTTCATATTTTGTAGTCATTGAATTTTCTGCTAAATTATTTTTATCAAATATTTATAACAAAATGACAGGTAAATACAACCATACTGTCGTTCATAGCAGGCGTGTGCTGCGGCTTGAAGTGAGACAGTTGCTATATCCAAGTGAATCCTGAATAGGAATTCGGCATCAGTTTCATAACCGGCTACTTGCCTGTTGTCAAACTTCTTGGGAATGCTATCGATGGTATAAAGTAGCCAGAACAAATCCAATATATAGTCCAATTATAAGTAGGTACATACGTCCACTATTTATGAATAATATCTTAAGAAGTGTTTATGTAAATTTTGTAAATTAAAATTTTGTCAGCAGAAGCTATAGAAAGGTAGATTTGAAAATTTTTAAAATTGTATTTGGTTTTTGCGGATCGCGGACATAATTAAAACTAACAGCTAGCACGTCTTAATCGTCCGTGACCACGAACGAGCTTTCGTAACGTCATACATCGTACCTAATTTTATATAATAACAATAAAAAACAATAAAAAAACGCGATATTAAACCATAAAAATAATTTTAATTATAAAAATGTTCATTGTAACAACCCTAACGAAACGGGTGCCGTCAAACTATGCTAATTTAAACGTAAGTACGCCTCTCCGGACTGGAACGAACCCTTAGCACAGTCTGATCACAATGCTCATTTATAAACGAACGTAGTTTCATAACTTCATCCAGTTAGTGTTTGTGTAGCTCCTACTGTGCACCCTCCCTTGATAATTAAACGATATTTAATGCACTTTTCATACATTTGTTGTTATCTATTTGTATTGTACCTTGGTATAAGTAGACGGTGGCTTGGCTATATTCCTGTTATTACTGCTGCTTATGACATTTACCACGTATGATAAGGTGGACCGTGTGCTCGTCTGCCTTTGAAGGGAAAAAGCGAGTATTATAAAAAAAAAACTATTAATATTAGCGAAACTAA